ACAGTTCATAACTTACTCCCATGATGTCATTTACTCACTATTCAAAACAAGTGGAGCCTTCAAAAATCATAAACACATGTTCAAACATCATAGCTGGTCAAATATCAAGCGGGTACAGCAAATGGATGGATGTGTCACACATTTACACAAGTATAATTCCACTTTAAAAATTAATACAATTTTGATTTCTGACCATCTGTACTGTTAAAGGCATACTATGGCCCCTCCTCTTCGGCTTGAGCGAGGCAGTTATAGGCCTGTGGGCAAGTGGGCGTGTCATATTAGAGCCCTGAACACACATACTGCATAATGCACACGTTGTATTTGAACCAAAACTCCTTCTAGGGAATTTATCAGATCACTTCAGATTTGGACAACAAGCCATTCTAAAGACATTCACGATTAAAAGTTGTGCTGTTTGCAACATTCTGTCTAAAACGCCCCCCAGAATCAGCCCCCAAGACACGTATGACCGACATGTACGAAAATTGGTAGGCATGTGTATCATGATGGGACAAGCAAAAAAGCCTCTTGGACCCATAACCCAAACCTCAACAGGAAGTCGACCATTTAAATATCGTGGATTATTTTCGGGCTGTGATTTTGAACGAATCCTTCGAGGGAATTTATCAGAGTCACTTCAAAATTGGGGTCAGTACAATCAAAACAACTGCAGATTGAAATAGGTTGTGTGACAGTCCCCTGCCTGGACACAGCCTCATATTCAGTGTACATTGGTCCTGACTGCAATGGAAACTTCACATGTTTGATAAGAGTCGCGCCCTGAGACACAGAAATCATATTCACGGGTATAGTGATAGCGCCACCTACTGGGCACAGGAAAGTAACACTTGCAGGTGGCGATTTGTGATCTGATTTACGTTGACATTTTTTTTGATGTTATGGTTGCCCACAGTGTAACGGCCGGCATGTGGACGCGGCCGCAGCAAACCTGAGTTGACGCTTTTCATTTATTATTATATTATTAATTATATTTCAGTTTTATATTTAGTTATCAAAACTAAAGTGAGTATCTGAAATTGTTTGTCCCCATTGTCAGGAGAAACTGGGACAGGAAATGGGTCTGTCAGCTGGTGAGGGATGTTTACCTATGAACAATTTTATTGATAAAGAGTGTTCATATTAGATTAATTTTATCCCATGAGTTGACTAGATGTGGGACCTTGATTAACGTGAACATGTTAGTGATTATTCACAGGCTGTTTTGTTCGTCTTTCAGGTTTCTCTCCATAGAAGGGTCCTGGGGACGATTGTTTGGCTGCCTTGGCTAGTGGGCATTCTTCAGCTGAGAAGGGGGCAGGTTTAGGATACATAAATGGTTCCGATGAAGATGGCTGGAAACACAATCAGTTTATTGATTGTGTGTTTATTATTTGTCTTACTTATTTGAGGAGAATGTAGGATAACATTATTTCATAACTCCTTTATCTGGATGACGTGTGTGTGGTGTGTGTGTGTAGTGTGTGTGTGTGTGTTGTGTGGTGTGTGTGGTGTGTAAGCATTGCCAAGCCTTCCCAGGCAGTGGATGGGTTGGAGCAACCAAATCAAGACCATCTACTCACGTGGGTAAGTAGGGCTGTCAAGAATACCTACACAGACAGGGTAAGTGTGTGTTGTTAAGAGAGGTTTAGTTCAGTTCTGACATTAAATCACCCACAATTTCACAATGCTCAAGGCTATTGCTTTGCTGTTCACAAGTAACTTTTAAAATGTGTGGCCCAAGATCAGATTCTAGTGTGAACAAGACCCAGCTCTTGAAGAGTAACCCGCATAGAAAAATGCCAGTCTAAAGATGAGGGACATAAAAGTCACACGAATTCTGATATGACTCGTTCACCACTGACGTCACACTGCAAAAGGATCAAGACCTGTGTCTGATCCTGTATGCAATATGGCCCGAATCAGAATTGAAAAGATCAATCAATCCAGAGATTCGACTGAAAAAATCGACTTGGGGTCTTCTCAACTGACTCAAATCATCAAGTTTTGGGGGGAAGCCCTAGTAGAAATATAGAGGTTCAAAATAGCATACTCCTATTCTGCTCCCTCTGTTTATTAAAAAACAAAACATTCTAAGGCGATTATACACTAATGAAAACATACCTATGAATATTCTATTCTATCTCTGAGAAGAGATCATAAATGTTACAATAAAGTAGATTGGGTGCCGGAATTACTTGACAAAAATATTGAAGCATTGTTTGAGAAATTACAGAGAGATTGGGTCAATAATAAAGACAACAGACTTGCAGGGAGGATTGGTAGTGATAGTGATTGATAGGTAGCTTATCAGTGGTGGTGTCCCACCTTCTTAGTGTTGCTTCATCTTCCCCTCATCTCCACCTTCAGGCCAGAGGAGCTGTCAGTCAGTCCAGCGTGCACCAGGAAGCACGACTCCAAGAGCAACACGTCAGCCTGCTGTTCCAGCTGCACACTCAGGCGTAAAGCTCCACCCACCTCAGAAACGACCTCACACCCCGCTGCAGTCTCACTTACCTGCGTCACACCACCAAACATTCTCCGCCGCTACTCCTCCACCTGACACCTCCACCCCTCCACCCCATCCTCACTTAGACCAGCTGCCTCTCCCCCAGACTGACTGCCGGTCTGACCCTGAAGCCCTGCGTACAGACTGTAAGGCAGATTTTGATCGAGAAGAGGAGGACTTTGTTCCAGTGAAAGACATTAATACCCAAAGCACGGCCACAGACACACACACAGCTGTCAGACACCCACACATACACACCTGTACCATGAAGATGTTAAACACACAGCTGGAGTCTGGACAGGTTGATAAAGTCCCTCAGGATGCACACAGCATGGAGGACTGCAGTCCAGAAACAGAAGTGAAAGTGAAGACTGTTCAGTATCTGCTGGGAGAACTCAAGGCTCTAATCACTGGACAAGGTAACCTGAATTACACACACAGTATCTTTTTGTATCTAACTGTTCACCATCCAGATTTGTAGACTGGGCCCTTGCAGATGTCTGTTGTATACACTCTCAGTGCTTCCCATTTAAAGAGGGTTTTCTTTTTACAACTGCGAGTGAATCTGGCATGAAAAACACATGAAAACACTACGTGTTCTACACAGGATTGTAAGTGTTTTCAACAGACAGAATTCCTGCTTTACATGTATATTTGTTCAGAAAACAAGTTGCCTTAGTTTGATCCATTCATACCTTTTATCATTTATCAGAAAAAAGTGCTTTGTTGAAAGTACCTTTTTATTGAATGCCTGCTATTGGTAATGCATTAAACATCAACGGTTAAAAAGTAACTAATAATAGTAATGAGTAGTTTTTTAGAAGTATACGTATTTTTCCTAACTTTGCATTACTTTACTAATTCTTACTTCAAACACCAGTAGATTTACGTGTAGGGGGGTAATATTTCAGTAATGTAACAGTACTTCTACTTGAGTACAGACTTTTAAAAGTCAGTGATTCAAGTTTTACTTTCTCTGACTTCACTTGATGGTTAATCACTTTGTGAGCAAGCGGCAACCTCCGTGGCTGCAAATGAAGCATGTCGCACCAAGTAACAAATACTGCAGTTCCATGAATGGCCCGCTTGAGGCTGGCTACAGAAGTGAGTCAATCTCTATGAGGCCCTATATTAAAATGCTCAAATTTATAGCAGAAATAAACATTTGAACACCCTGGTACCAACAACTGTTTTGACCTTTATAGTTAAATTGCCCATTCATTACAATTGTATGAATTGTGAATTTTTAGATAACTCACCTGTTTAAAATATATTAAGGATTCAGTAACCAGGCTTTATTCAGCCCGCTTCAGCTCCACCCATGCTCCACCTCTTTGCCCATTTTTGGAATAGCCAGGAGCCAGCTGAGTCAGGATTGCCAAATGGCAACGGCAAAACTGACCACACTGAGCTTCACAAAGGCTCTTCGGAAGCCCCTGGGTGACGTCACAGAGACTACGGCCATTTTTATTTATACAGTCTATGGTTTGTGAGGCTACAGGTGCAGTAAAAGTCAGCAACATTATCTCTGCTCCTGTTTGGTCATCTCAGCTTCTTTTCCTGCCACCGCAAGTGGATTTCCTAGAATGACGAAGCTGTCATATAGTAGCGCGCGAACCTTCCCGTAGGAGCAGAGTGCAAGGCAAAAGCTCGCTTTGACTTCTTTATCTCTGTGCTTGCGTTGTTCGATAGGCTGGAGAACTGGCCGTGAAAAGCCGGGGCCTACTCTATAGATCTTTAGGACTCTTTGGTGTTTTGTAGTGTAGTTCATAAGGCAGGTTACCATGTAGCACAGAGGAGATCTAACTGGCCCTGTAGTGGTCGCAGTTTATAGGTACGCAGAATCCTGTCGCTCTGTATCCACAGTTGAAGTGTACCTTCGATGATATGGCGTTACACGTTCCTAACAATACATTGGTGAAAGCAGGAAATTTCCACGATGAAAGCCGCTATAGGACCTTGTTATCTCACCCACTAATACACGGGGACGTCGCATCCTAGGGTTCTCAGTACCGTACACTGTGCGCAGGTTACGATATCCTTAACACTCTCATCTCGTGCCGATGAATGTGTTGTTTGCCTCTACAAATAGTAATATCCTAGCTCCGTACAGACAAGAAAAGGAACACCGGCAGGGGTTCAAACGATTTGGTTGTCCGCTTGCATTGGCTGTGGCATCGGTGTCACCTCATCGTGATGCGAACTGCCATAACTGATTCGTGCATGTGTCTGGTGGTTACGGTGGATTATGAGGGTACATGTAAATAGAACCCCTACATAAGTGTTCTCAAAATGAATTACTATACATCAGTATCCGCCCGCCACTAGACGTAAGATCAGTAACTTTGGATCCATAGCGCCGGCTGGGTTTAGTGCGGGTTGTTGGGCCGGAGGATAACTTCGGCTGCAGCAGTTAAATGAGAAGGAGCAAGGCAGATTCGGGGTCCGGTTGACGAGTAGAGGAGACAGATATCCATTGGACAATGGTATGGAGCGGGGCCGGAACACTCGCTCTTATGGTCGCTATACAATCCTCCATAATCATTCGTAGAATGTTGTGGTTGGAGAAAACTGGGTGCTAATCATGCAGAGCTGTGGATTGGGTCAGGGTTTCGTACGTAGCGAGCAGCTCCTTCGCTGCGATCATATATGAAAGTCTAGCCTTGAATCCCAACGCTTTGAATCGGCCCGTGGGCGGGGCTCCCACCACAAACCTCCCCTCCCTTGAATGGTCCTTTGGACTACCCCAAAGGGGCAGCTCTTGCAGCACTTGCGTAGAGCCCATAGCTCCTCACAAAGAGAAATCACAACGAACGGCTCTATCTACCATAGGCCGCGAACCCCCGGAGAAGGCCGTTTATCGCGTGGGACCAGAGACCGAAGTGGCGCGAGGATGATCCGCTGGCGCTGTGTTGTGTGTGTGTAGTATGGTGTCGTGTGTGGTGTGGGTATCGTTACGTACTAGGCGGATTACTAGACTAGAGGGTTCAGTCAATAATCCCACAGATAGGTAGCTTCGCACCATGGGGGGGGCCTCCTCAGCCAAGCAACATACACCCAAATGTGGTGCTGAGGGAGACCTGCGGTTCCTTCGATCGATATGAGCACGTTATCCATGGTACTATATAGGGATGACAACACATCATCAGATAGGGGTAAAACTAACTATCGCTCTCAAAGGAACAGACGTTGAAAGAGTCTAACACCAGCTCACTACCAGACTAAATGTAGTGTAGTGTGTTGTATG